TCAGGCCCAACATTCTTGGTTTGTCTGATATGACAAGTTCTATTAAAGATAATAAGAAGTTATTGTACGCACACAGTTCTCCAATTGACCGACTACTCTATTTCTAGGTTATAATTTGACTTTAATACTGCAAAATCGTACCCGTTATATTAAGGTGGTTATGAAGCTATAACGTAACTTGTTATATTAAGGTGTTTATGGAGCTATAACGTAACTTGCCGTGTATCACTAGAATAACAGAAATTTCTGAGCACTTGAGTTCAGCCTCCCGGTTTTCAGTTAGGTATTTATTTCTCTTAGTAAGTATTGTGAACTATTTTGTTTTTTGTGCCACGTAATGATGGGAACATAAAATGTTACGTCATGTCGTCCTTGCGCGGTCAATCCGAAATCCAAAAAGTGTCAAGACATTTCTTACAGACTTTAGATACTGAGCTGATATTTGGTTTATAAGCTTATAAAAGTTACATACATTGAGTTCAAGCTTCTTACTAAAAGATATTAATGAAAATTTAACCTATCCGGACTTTATTCATTATGTCTACATTTCTTGTCTGGTGGTGAGATACAAATCAACTTCGCGTTTTGTTCCGGATGACCTACTTTTCATGGAGTCCTTCTGCCCTTCTAAAGGCGGAGGAATTCGTGTAGTCACACCAAATATAGTTTCTTTTGGCCAAGGCGTTGTCTGTTCTTGTGCCTCGCTTGTTCACCAAAAATATAACCAATAGAAAATCAGTGACAAATACAATAAAAGTATAACGCGTGTAGTAAATTTAACACATCTTTGATATAAAAATAAGGAGATGTGGTATGATTGCCAATGGGACACCTATCCACCAGAGTTCAAATAAAGAGGATGTAAACCTGTTTTGTTTTCAAAATATTTTCAAATGTACACATGCAAGTACACATGCTCTCAGATCAAATTTATTATGGTATGCAAACATTCCTGGTTCAGTTGCTACAGTGCAGCATATACTCATCTATTCGTTTCAGATAAGAAAATCGAATACATACACACGAATTATATATATACATTCTTGTGGTCAGTTATTATATATTTCACTTATAAATATGCAGTTTCCTAAGCATTTCAAAATCGTTTTAAGAAATATGCAAACGACCTCACTTCTAAACGCATTTATAACTGTGAAAAAAAATAGAAAACAGTAGCTTAAAGCGATAGCATCGATAGTGTCTGGTAATATATTATTAAATTATGACACATAGAACGATTAATAAAACAGCAACTTCGTTTCATCTTTGACAATTTCCTTACCATCACAACCAAAACACTGCACACAACCTAATACATAACACTAATCCATTTACTATGACAAAAAATAATAATAAATGTATAGTGTATGATAATGAACTGATGAATGCATGGGTGGTCCCCAAGTCATCGTATGACCCTAGAAAACATTTTGTCTCCGACTAAATAATAATACAGTGACAGTCACTGTAGCTTGTAGTCTATAAGAATTAAGATTCACTTGTTACTACTTGATTTACAATACATTTTTGAAACAGGTAGTTAGTTGTTTATATCAGCTGACCAACATAACTAGATTATTTAGATGCAAGGTGGTGAAATATCGATCTGACTATTTTCAGTTTGGGTTATAAAATTCAAGATTGAAATTAAATAAAATTATTCGACTCCAAATGCGTGCATTTGAACCAAGTTTTGATTTGATTGTCTTAACACCTTTGTTATCATCCTTCGGCTACTCGGTACATGTTATATTTAACATCATAGTTGTGGTTTTATAAATTTCATTATTAGGTTTTAATTTGTATTCATCTAAAACACTGAAATGTGAATCTGTTGTTACATCTCATTGTTCAGCTATAGTGTCTATGTTCAGTGTGGATTTCGTAATTAATTCAAACGACATTTTTTGTACATTAATTTTTCTTTTATGAGCTATACTAGCCCCATGTATCGAAAGTATAAAAAAGGAGAAAATGCAAACGGTATTTGCTTAATTTATTTTACACTTTTTTTCACTGTTTTGGTGGCAAAACCAGTAATCCAAATAGAGATATTCTTTAGCCTGTTTATAAAAAATGACTTCGAATGGTTTTATAACGTACCATAACCTCAAGTCAGAATATTGAAGATGTATTTGTTTAAGATATATCCTAAACTTATAATGTTAAGATAACTTAAGAACACGCAGTTGTACAACAATATTAGGGGTTGCAACATGTTATGTGTTGACATATTGAAAATCTCACTCTAGAAATATTATTTGAAAATAGAATCGACACTTACATACTCACAAATATTCATTTAATGACCGATAATATAATTGAATTATGATAAATGTACAAATTTATAAACAAAAATCTTCATAAAGAAAATCGCTATTTTTCTTTTCTTATTTAGGACTACCTTCACATCTTATTGTATAAGTTCCCGAATTAATTTGTATTAAAGCATTTTTTTTTACTATCCTTCTCGTTACATATTAGATTTCATTTATTAAATTACTGAGAAAAATAAATCACTTTTCACAAGAAAAGTCACTGGGAAGTGCAATTGGGTGTTGTTTAAGACATCAACATACTACTTTTTCCATCTTTGTAGCGTCGAATATTGCAAAGGTGAAGTTTTTCTAGAAAAAGTGACAAATTTGTTGTACAGTTTATTTTATTCTGATTACTATATAGCAGTAATTTACATTTTGACACTGTTACATATATTTAATGTTTGTAAGACTTATCTCTTCAAATCACTTTGGTGACATTAATTTACTTTATGGGAACATATACTCAAGAACGACAAAAGACTCTATAATATTTATTCAAAAAATATAATTCATATAATAATTCGACATTTCTATACTCGAAAAAAATTATTTATGAATACTAAAAATTTAAACGTTATGCGAATCTCTCTCCACTTAACAGCACTTTCTATCTTAAATGGACTGAAATACATTTGTAAGATGAAAAACAGGAAAATGTAGCTTTAAACAGACAATTTACATTCATAAACATTGTCATAAATTATGGTTATATCTTTAACATGCAAATTATACTAGTTTTAGAGAATATTTATTAAAAATCGACCCACACTTCTGCAGATATATAGATATCATTTCTGTCGCGACATGATTAGTAAATAAATTACTATATAACCAAAATGTATGACACCATCTGAGAGTAACTCGCATAAATAAAACAATTTTCCCATAACTAACACATGTGATCGCTGGGGCGTTATATTTTTATTTTTGTAAATGCATTCTGTTACCTTAACCTTCGATGGGGAAAATTTGAAATAAAGAAACATTTACAATTTAGTCAATCATACTATGATTTGAGTATTATATTCGATACATTTAAACTCGTTCATTTGACCATTGTGTACGCTTAATTTTCTTTCGTCAACACATTTATATATTTTCTTCACTTGAAATGTTTATCCGGGTTGAAGAAGTATAATGTATATGTGATAATGGATTTTGTGTAAATGGTGATTGAAATGTATCTTTATAATCATTAATCAATAATCTTTCAGACATTGAAAAATTCTATTTCATATTTCGAAGTAATGATTATGATGTCAGTAAATGTTGCATTAAAGGTATTAATGAGATGTACACGTTCAGAAGTTCACTAACTTAAGTTATTTTATGTTTATATTATATAAATTGTAATACTAGTATCTAAAACTGTACCTCCTCAGTCAAATAGATAGAAGGGGAAAATAAAAATACTCATTATATATTTATATATACACCTCTTTCTTCTTTTTTTTTTATGTTCTGTATTGTTATATAATTGATTGTAATGATTAATGATTGTTCTTTGTGTGTTGATGACAATCCATATTTTGGATTTTATATCAATAAAATCTTTGACTTTGACTTAATGTTATAGCAAAATTAAGAGAAAACATTTCTGAGAGAAGTATTGACGCCAAACAAAATTTGTTTTTTATAAGAACGATTTATTTGTTTTGGAATATTTTTCATGCTTAGCCAGGACGTGAACTCGGACAATAAAACGAAAAACTGTTAAACTTTGATAAAAAGAAAAGATTGTTGCTAAAAAGGGACTAGACTTTTTCTTAATGAACTTCTTTTATTGTTTTGATGACGTTATATGAACAAAATATTTTTCTGGAAGGCCCCTTGCTTACATATCCTGCGATAATTGTATTACAAACTTTTTCACTCATTTTTGCACTTTAAAAGGATTATTTAAAATGCTCTGTTATATTAATGATTTTCAAACCACACGAACAAGTTAATAATACATAATATTTCAATTCTGAAAACGTTTCGACAATTGTTTTAGTTTAAAAAATTATGATGATACTAATAAAAATGGGAAATACACAATATTATATTTTTATTATTTCATAACCGTTCAATCACTGACATATTTATTTCTTTTAAATTGCTTTTATTTTTACATTAAATTTTACAGGCATAAAAATTGTATAGATTCAAATTGCTATATTTCATTAGTTTTTTTGTGTGTAAAAAAAAATTATCAAGAACATGTAGGAGTTATATTAATGAAAATATGAAAAAGATGAATAAAAAGAAGCGATTTGTGGGTCATTACAGGCTTGTCATTAATGTTTTCAAAATTTGTGGTTAGCATAAATGACGTTGAATCTACATTTGTTAATATATTTTGATTTATTACAAATGTTAGGAAATTACTATGTAATGACATTGAGAATACTAAGCACTTAACATTGTTGATAACATTTTAAAACAAAGAGTATCTTAAGGTACAAGGTACCAAAACAATGGAGGTATCTCAGTTGATCCATCATCACTAGATACCTGAAACGATGATAGTTGTAAGTATGTTGAAAACTTAAAAATGTCCATAAACAAACTTTGATTGTTTCTAATGAATTAAGAATAGTGAGTTGATATTTTGAAAATTTTAAAATGGTCCATAAATAAATTCTAATAATAGAATAGCTATTTGGTGAGTTCTGATAATAAATCATGGTGTCTTACCTCTTTGGCAGAAAGTTGAGTAAGCTGACATTGAAGTAGCTTTATTGAGGTCTAAAGCATCGGGCCCCCTCCATGAATTATCTAATACATTTAGTCGTTGATGACTGCTACAACTGCAAGATATGGCACAGCAGCTTCTTTGAGAATCGTCCCTTGGGGTGTCATTGTCCCCTCGAATATTTGAACTTTTATATAGTAAATTCTCATATCCGGTTTTCATTAATGAATTATTATCCCTTGGGGACATACCTTCAGATGTCGTTGGGGTACACAGTTTCCAGTCTGTATTTGCATGCTGCTTTGCTGTTTCCGAGGGCAAGGAATACACTGATCCAGGTGTGAAATACCCCGAATGGGGCCAAGTTCCATACATGTGAGGATAGTTTCTATCACAGTTAGCACCATCGGCATACGAGGGTATATGCCACCCACGAAAGGCATACGGATTCATAGCCGCCATCCAGAAATGTTTCTTTGCTGTTTTCTTAAACTCACTTATTTCTCAGTTAATAACTCGTTCTAATATAAGATACACAAAACAATTTCATCAACGTTACTCTACGGTATGTCTTAAGGTATACTATTTCATCAGTTGAGATGTTTATGGCGTTGACAAGTATTCTATCTTATTAAGTATCCAGTTCTGTTTTTGCGACAGTGCCTATTAAAATAATACTACACATCGATAGCTTGCTATCTAGATATTGATTGGTTAGCTGTAACAACAGGCGGACGATATAAAGACATACATGACCTCCCGCGAGGTCAACTGACAGTTATCGTCGCTACGGAACAGTGACTGCCTTCGTTCGCTCGCGCATAAAATTTTCTACAAATAAAACATAGATAAATGTAATAAACAAAGCAAACATTCATTTGCTATTTCTTTGTTTTTCTAACATAAATCACTAATTTGATTATTATAAAGTTTAATGCAGATTTGTGGACCACCTACAATGGATAATAGACAAATGGTAATCTTTTTTTTTATATCTATAAACTTTCAGAGAAATAATAATAACAAAACATTGAATAATTGACATAAAATTCTTATCCGATGATAATTTTCATATGTATTCTGTGTATTCCTTACCTTTTTAAATTTTTTGTTTTAAATTCTTTTGAACATATTTTGGTAATTAATTTGAAAACTAAAGGTGGATCATAACTTTACTCTTTTATATTATGATGAATTTGTTGGAAATAAATTATTTACTATGAAAATTCTTTGAAGAATTAGGCACACAGAACTTTTTAAATTAATCTGATTTGAATGATATTAAACTAAATAAAAAATTCAATCACGATAAAAGAAATATAAAAATTAGATTTTAACAGCCATTATTAAAACTGACGTTTACAGCTAAAACATGGAGTTTTTATTCGAAATTGATGACACATTATTCATTTGGGCTTGTTTAAAGCCAATAAATTAGTTCGAACAATATTGATCAAATATAAATAAAATAATTGCTATGAAATTTAGCATATAAACTGTAAACGATGTTCAATCGAAATGAAGGAATAAAATCTATATAAAATACCGATATATGTTCTATACTTAAACAAAAATAGTGTACACATATATTTAAAGATACATTAAATATAAAAAATCACAATATAGTGCAATTACACTGGTATATATTTTATATATTTTATCTTAATATGCAAACTCAACAGTCGTTAAACGTCACTATCTGGAGTTGTTGATAAAATAAATAGCGATTAATAAGTAAAACAAAATATCATAACGTAAAATAATAATAAGGAAATCCAGTTTTTAAATATATCAATTAGTAAAATATCCTTTATATTATATCATTTTAAAATTAAAACATGAAAAATGTAAGAGGTAGTTAATATCTTTGATTGTTTATTTTTCAAATATATTTCTATATTATTATCAGGTTATTTATTATACATTAATATGTTTTACGAAATACATATCATTTTGTCTCATGTTGCCGAAAGTAGCCAAACCGTATAACTGAGGAAAATCAATGCAGATTTGTTTTTGTTAATTAATTAAAAACTTTATTTTCAAATAGTAGAAAAGTATACCATAATTTCAACATTGAAACATTAATAACTTAGTTTTGTTGAATTGCTGATGACATTCTAAAATTATATTATGTATATATAAATTGTATATAAAAGAAGATATTGATACACTAAGAAAATATTAAGATATTGTAAAAGTATTGATAGACTAAAGAATATCAAGTTATATTTTAAAATCCAAGCCTTTGTTTAGAAAGTAAATTATATTCAAATATACCGTCAACTTATCTAAACTAATTCAACGACATTTCATGTATTTATTTAATAACAAATATCTATACTATTTTCCATTGAATGGAATAACTTGAGGTGAACACGTAAGATTTCCAAGAAATAATCATCGAAATTTCAAATGAGCTTCTAATACAAAAATTAAACGATAACGAAACTGATTTGATTCACCACATGTACATTTCTGAACATTAAAATAAGTGATTAAACAAGATCGAAGTTATTCAAATTTGAAGATATACACAACGATTTATAAAACAATGAACAAATAAATAGTTTATAATATTAGTATTTATTTTTTTTTCTAAATCTTTCGTTGAAGTTAAATTAAGTATATCTTAAAATTCTCTAAACAATTACAAAATGACATACAGCAAAAAAAAACGAGTTAATAAGCCCTGGCAAAAATCCATGTTTAAAATGTTTAACTTCTAATTAATAAAAAGAATGTTTGCAAACCAAACGAAAGAGTACGTACCTTTCTATAACTGAATATACTTAGCAAAGCATATCTGTCCTATCTAAAAATGTAAATAGATATTATATTACTTTTATATTTTGATTTTATGAGGAATTTAGTTTTATGCAAATCCAGAAAGAAATCTCATGCTAATTGTGGAACAAACTTTGACCATTACTGTCAACTTAAATGAAGAAAACATAATGAATGCCATACCTTTATAGATAAGGAAGATGAATTCTACAATCTGTTTTATGGAATATAGAAAGTTTTTGCGTTTAGTAATAATTATTTATCACACATATAGTACATATAAAACACAAACAGTTTACAATTTATTCATATTTACTATACCATGCTTATAACATCTTAATTTTCTGTTTTTATGATAATGTCGTTGTCATTTTAAATGCTGTAAATTGATGTTTTACTCCAGTGTAGTGTCTTATACTCAAATTAATTATTATTTCAAGTGTTTTCTTTCGTCTGACACTTCTCTTGACGTAAGCAGAATGAACAGCAAAGTCAAAAAGAAAATTACACATGGAAAATGAAATCATAGCAAAGGATTCCGTAGGCCGTAGGAACAAAAAATTTTAACAGCTAGTAAAATGTATTATCTTAAACATTTTCAGTTGTATAGGGACATGCTAATTATTTTGAAAATATGTTGGTGCAAACTGGTAATTTCTTATTCGTTGTAAAGGATTGAGGAAATTGCACAAACAAAAGTATTTCCCCATGAAGAAAAAAAAAACAAAAGCTAAAATTTCTAATAAAATGAATAAAAATATTATCGGAACGCCAAAATTTCAACTGAAATTCTTGATTCAAATACCAGCAACAAAAATGTTAAACTGACATGATGTAAATTCTATTATACTTTCTTATTGATCTAGTCATTTAAAATATAATTGAAATATGTAAACAAAACAATAACTATTCTCAAAGATTTTTGATGTGTCATCAAACATATTATTATATTCTTGAAAATACATATCTCCAGCCAGTTTAACTGGTATTCAAAATAAACAAAATAGTTTATTTTAAATTAAAAGTCAGGCAGACGAGGTTTTATCCCCACTCATACTGAAATACACAACTTATTAATTGAATAGGGGACAAAACACAACGCTGTCTTCAAAAGATAAATATTTTGATTGTTTTCACCAATAACGGTTATTATTTTTTATTAAACAAGACACATTTAATATAATTAAAGTTCATGTTCAAAGTCAAAAGGATTTTTTTTGTAATGGAAATTTATAACAGAAGCCGATTGATTTTGGAAAGATTATTTTAATGTTCATATATATATATATATATATGTACTTCTGATATTTCCAGTTGACCGAAAAATACGAAAACTTGTGTTCATAAGTCGTTTATGGTGCATCAGCTTATCTTTTTATCTGATAAATATGTTTTTTTTTTAATCTTTTTTAAAAATAAGAGGCAACAATAGTTTACCGATGTAGAAATCTCGTAAAACCATTTTGAATATGAATTTTCTATGTTGTGCTGGGTAGACTGTTGTTTGTCTTGTCGTCGTTTTTGTTTTGTTTTGCCATGGCGTTGTCGGTTTGTTTTTGACTTATGAGTTTACATATCCCTTGGTGTCTTCCGCCTCTTTCTTTCAGGGGCTGATAATATGGATAGAATGATTTTTAGTCAGATATTCAAGAAATTATAATTGTTTTGCTTCTTATTTTAATAAAGCACATGGAATGTCTGTCAAACAATTTAACCACACAGTAACATCTTTATACATTTAAATTTTACACGAAACCCACAATCGGATTATATACTTGCTAGTATAAGATACTCCAGTGTCTAAATTTCATTATTTTTTTTCAGATTGATTAATGCTGTTGCTCCTTTTTTTCGCAAAGTAAATGGAATTTCTGTCTGTCAGGCAAAATCAACACATATCTGCATATCTTGCAATTATATCATAACATTCTTTCCATTTTTCATTCGTTATTGAACTGTTTCATTATCGACATCACATTAATGTACGTTGTTCGAATACATCACTCTTTTAAATTCAGATGAATGTTTCTTCAATTTAAGTAAATTAATATTAAAGTACTGTTCTTTTGAATAAAAGTCTTTTTTTTCCACTGTTTAACTTTATATCTAGTGGTAGTGTCTTTTCTTAATATGTTTGTCAATAAAATAGGAAGTGTTTCGGTTTGGAGGATCCTTCCATTATAATCGGTCAGCAAAATTTTAAAAGACTTTTTTGTGCTTATTCACAATGATCTCACGAGAACTTCTGTTAGGTATATCCAACAACTTTAACTTAATGAATGCATAGTATAATCAAAACAATAAGTCGCGAACGACAATTAACATCATGGCATAAAGAACCTAAAACAAAACCACAAACAAAACACAAACACCAAAGATTGAGCAGATCAACCTCCAACAAAAGTCGAAGTGAACTCTTGCTCCTGAAGCACTTCCCGTTCAACAAGCGGTATCACCCAAAGTTATCATGTTAAGTATAAAACCTGTCACTTTTGGTAAAGTAGGAAATAAAGAACAACAAGAATGTGGCTACGATATCCAAAACGCTCAACTAATTAAATGACTCCACTGTTGCCATTGGATTCTTGCTGAAATAGCTTTCTTGCATGCTAGCAGCAGCCCTTGTCGTAAAAGAAGTTATTCCACTTTCAATTCTCATCTGTAAGTCAAGATATAAAGCCAACCTAAGTAATAACTTTAACTATTGAGTTCTGAGCTTTGAGTTCAATGTGATAAATGCGGCCAAAAACATCCCAAACCGATAACTTATTAGTGAAAAGAAATTTGCTATTTATTTGTATTGTGGTCCTGTCATGTGATGTTGTCCTTTTGGTGTTGTGTTTGACGTTGCCATAAAAGCGGGAGGTTTGGCACAGTTTTAGTTTGTAACCCGGGTTTGTTTTTA